TTTGTAAAATAGTAATGATCATAGAGGATTGTCTTTTCTACTTGATTAATTCAAGAAAGAAAGTCCCCAGATGGCTCAAACTGTATTTCTGGATGCAGATCAATGAAATAACAGTCTCTGTCCATCCGGTCAGTTTTGACATAGGCCTAGTTCACTACAGAACCGAGGTTCTTTTATGGCACCGACCAAACTGCACCGGCCGGTCGGTGTATGTATTGAAACATCACTCTTCTTTCGGTGTCAAGTTTTGGTATTGGCTGTAACGTGGTTTCAGCATGCAGGCTGGTAAAACACCAGACATATGACAAACAGACTACACCCAGATTACACCCAGAGCTGTATAGAGCTGCTGTACCTATGTATACTGTAATGTATGTCTATGGTGCTGGTGAAGCCTACACACGGGTTCACGTGTGCAGCGTTGTCGAAGCCGTTCGACAACACCCGCTGTAGAAAGTTGCTCCATGCTTTTCTGCGAGGAGAGAGGAGTTCAGCAGCCTCCCCCTCCTCCTCTCAGCATTAAAGTCAGCCTGTGAGAGCCTGAACGTCCTGATTCATTATCTCCACAACCAGACTCTTAATCAAAGAACTCCGAGGACGGCTCTGTGTGTTTCAGATGGTGAGTTTACGTTTGTTAGCGTAACTGCAGCTTAACACGTACATCGCTGTGAAATAAATTATGATCCATGTAACGCTAACTTTAAGATATTAGTGCGTAAATGTAGCTAGTGTGGCTAGCTAAACTCAGAAGCTAACTAAAGAGATCGACAGTAACATAAATCTTAAACTTGTAAACTGCTCATCCATCCAGTCAGCTGCTTAAACAGTTCACCTAATGTTCACCGTTTATGTTAATGTTCTCTTCACAGGAGTCTATGACCCTGATGTGAGGAGGACAAAAGAAAAGCGAGGTGGGGGTGCCACAGGATAGTCAAACTTTGTTGTTAAAAGTGTGCTGCTTTTTCTACAGTGGAGCTGCACAGTGGAGGCAAGTTAAGCTGTAAAAGATTTTGTTGACCAGTTAAGCTTTTATCTCTCAGGCAAGATAATGCTTTTTGAGTAATAATAACACAACCATGTTATTGTTGATGTTTTGTTCTCATGTCAATTAGGGAGATGATCAGAGCCCTAAACCCCAGACAATCACAGAGAAGATTCAGGCAGAGGCACAGAGGTGCAGATGTCTGCATCAACCCTACCTCATTGAATCCAGTGACCTGCTGGTGGAATGTGAGGGACACTATGTCAGTGCTATCAAACTGACAACCAGGTATCTGTGTATGCAACAGGCATCATCTACAGCCTCAGAGTGAACATTTTCTACTGCTGGAGACACCATCAGCCAGGAGCGGGCTTGTTTGTATCCAGAGAAAGCAGACGTTAAGTGAAAAGGTCCTCAGTGTGTAACAGTGAACATTAGACACTGATGTGTCACTGGTTTGAAACTGGTCTTTTGACCTGGAAATGATTTGTTTGCTTTTATGTAAGAAAACTGCTTGGAATAGAAAAGTACCTAAGTTAAAAAATAAAACTCACAATTTGTACTGTAATGCGTAACGTAATTTTATTCTTGTTAGAATTAATAGTAATTACAAAATTGGTACCGAAAAAAGAACCGTCCAGGAACCGACACCGAAGTGAAGGTACCGACACCGATACAGATTTTTTTAGAAAGGTACCCAGCCCTAGGTAGCTGCCTTGAGCTGTGGCCGGAAGGTTGTCGGTGCTTCTCGCGGTGGCCATCCACAAAATTGGTGGTGGACACCCCAGGTTAGGGAGGCTGCAAGCTGAAGGAGGAGTCCTGTCAGGCTTTGTTGGCTGGTGGGATTCTGGAGGCAGCTGAGAAGTACTGGAGTGACATACGGTCCGCAGCATTGACTGTTGCTGAAGCAAAAGCTCAGATGTGGAAGAAGTTCTGTGAGGCTTTGGATAGAGACTCAGTTGGCTCCAAGAATTCAGGCAAACCATCAGGTGGCTGAGGAGGGGAAAGCATCACTTTACTAACAATGTGTTCATTGAAGGTGGGGTGCTATTGACCTCAACCAGTGATGTCGCTGGGAGGTGGAAGGATAACTTCTCAGACCTTCTCAATCCCACCAGCACCAGCACATCTTCCATGGAAGAAGCAGAGTCGGGGGACTTCGGGGCTGGTCTGTCCATAACCGTGGCCGTGGTCTCCGATCTCTTCAGATCCAGGAGGAACAATGCGGGTTCCATCCTGACCATGGAATACTGGATCAGCTGTTCTTCACTAGGGTCCTCGAAGGTCATGGGAGTTTGCCAATCCAGTCTGCATGTGTTTTGTGGACTTGGAGAAGGCATTTGACCGTGTTTCTCGTGGTACACTGTGGGGGTTGCTCCATGAGTATGGAATTGGGGGCCAGTTGTTACAGGCTGTTCAGTCCCTATAAAAGCGGTGCGAGTTTGGTTCACATTAATGGTAGTAAGTTGGACCCCTTCAGGGTGGGAGTTGGACTCTTTCAAGACTACCCGTTGTCACCGTTTCTGTTCATAACTTCTATGGACAGAATTTCTTGGTGCAGCTAGGGGGCGGAAGGATTCCTGGTTCTGTGGCCTCAGGATTCCATCTTTGCTCTTTGCAGATGATGTGGTCCTGTTGGCGTTGTCGTGCCGTGATCTACAGCTTTCACTGGAGTGGTTCGCAGCCAAATGTGAAGCAGCTGAGAAGAGAATTAGCACCTCCAAATCTGAGGCCATGGTCCTCAATCGGAAAAAGGTGGATTGCTCTCTCGAGGTCAAGGGTGAGGTTCTGCCTCAATTGGAGGAGTTCAAGTATATTGGGTTTTGTTCACAGGTGAGGAAAGAATGGAGCGTGAAATTGACAGACAGATTGGTGCAGCATCTGCAGTATTGTGGACTCTACCAGTCCGTTGTAGTGAAGGGGGAGCTGAGCTGTAAGGCAAAGCTCTTTGTTTACTTGTCGGTCTACATTCCTTCCCTCACCTATGGTCGCGAGCTCTGGGTAGTGACCAAAAGAATGAGATTGAGGACACAGGCTGTTGAAATGAGTTTCCTCCACGGGGTGTGTATATATATCTATATATGTATATATATATGTATATATGTATATATATATATATATATATATATATATATGTATATATATGTATATATATATATATATATGTATATA